CTAGGAATTTCGATGGCAGGCGTTCACTTTGTTACTGTCACGTCCAGGATTATTCTTAGATATTAACAAGTTTATTGATTTATTATGATATAAGAGATCAAATAGAATGATATAAAAGTCCTGTATTACCTTAAAGAACAAAAATTCAAATATACATTTTTTTATACAATACTTTTTGCATTTTTTTTTAAATAGTTAAGCTTAACCATCTGTAAAAGATGTTTTGAAAATACAAAAATAGGTAAAATATATCTTTATATCAGTATAATATTAAGTTTTATTCACACATAGTTATATTGGAATGGAAAAAGTTTCTCAGTCGTAATTCACTTTTCGTTATAATCCTGTCTCCAAAAATATAACTTTAGATTGATCGAAGTTAGTGAAAAGTTCTTAATAAGATGTCATAGAAGTCATCATTATTCTTAATCAAAGGGAATTTTTATATGAAAAAATAACGACCTTTTTAAAATATATTTGATATTCAGCTTCTATTCGTACTATTTATTTCTTTATGAGCTGAAGACGGCTTTGAAGGTATAATTCAAAGACCTATTTGTTGTGTACGTGGATTTTCGTTTGATCGTATTATATTATTTAAAACAGAATATCATAAAATTTGAGCAAATAATAGCGTTAAATAGTAATGAAGTATGGAGAAATGAATTCTAGCATTCTTAACATTTGATTTATGATTCAGTACATTCTATAGGAATGGAGTTGTTAGTTTGTCACATGGATGATTAATTTTGCTGCTGTATTTACACGGCCTCTTTGATGTGAATAATTTGTTAGACTGAATTCTGCTGCAGTTGATGTTCCTAAATAATATACCTATTTTACGAAACTTAATTTCGGCTAAGTGATTCAACAGTGTAACAATATATTTAGGTATTGCAACAGAAATGACAGTTGTTAAGATGTTACGAGAATTTTCATCGCTGCCCCTTTAAAATTTGAATGGCCTAGCCTTTACGACTGTAATATTGAGCTTCAGAGCCTTTACAGCTGTAATAGCCGTCCCTAAACCCATATCGGGACGAAAGTGGCACAGTTATGTTAATTGCCATACCTTTACGGGTATGCCGAGCACTTCGATTAATGAGATGCGTATTGCATCAAAAGCGTGAAGCTAAAGTCGTATTTCTGCTTGAATAAAAAAAGTGTTAAACAAATATCGAATTAACGAAACGATAATAACGATATTGATTTGACATATTTATGAATATGGTTTATTACATAATATGTTTATTACATATAAATAAATAATGTAAAATACATGATTAAGACAAATATTGATAACGTTAAAATGACAACACGATAGTGTCACGAACCGTCGCGTAATATCTGTAGTAACAATCGATTTGAAGGGACAAATTGCGTGACTATTGCTTTATACACAAGCAGTGTCTAACTGCCATTTGCGATAACGTAAAGCATTATTTGTACCACAAACCTTTGTTTATGTCATGACTGTAATTATTTGGCCCTTCATTGAAGAGTTTTAGGTATATACATCTGTAATATATTTCACCAACTGCTAGATATAATGAAAATACCAAATTTGCTCACAATTAATACGAATATATAGTTATGTCCGTGGTATCCTGATTTGTAAGCAGTATTACTATATAATATACATATTTAATGAGTAGGATCAAAGTGAAAACTAATCCAGCTCAAACAATGGATTAACAAATTTAATCGTTTAAAGAACTATTTATTTTTAAATAACTCAAACAATATGAAATCTACTCCAGATATAATTTTTACACTGCGCTTGGTTTGCTGAATATTTATACCTCTAGTAACGGGGATTTATAAGAAAATTTTAAGTGAATGAACTAAATATTATCATACTATCCCAACGTATTAAAATAATTGTTGACTAGATATAAAACTTTTTCATCTATATTATTACTGTGTTGTATGACAAATAATTATCACTAAAATATCTAACTTTTTAACTTAATGGTCTTTTACTAGTTATTTATTTAGAATCATAGAATGTTATTTTCTATAAAAAATGATAGTGATGTCTATGCCTGATATTGATTCCAAGTTTTTATAACGCCTTACAAAATAAAGTTACAATCTAGACTAATTAAGAAGAATACATACATACAAAACGCTGTACAAAGAAAAGTATTTTATATTCAAACCAAAAAGAATAACATTACTTAGAATGTTAGTTAGGATTTGATTGTTACTCACTGTAATGGAAATGAGGTTATATTTAGTCTTATTACTATTTAAATGAAGAGACTTTTTTCGGGTTAACGTTAGATTTATTTTATGAATAAGTTAAATTGTACACAATACAAGAAATCAGGTCATAGTGAAGACTATGCAGCGCCTAAATGTTAGAATGCATAAAACACAACAAGATAAATTGACATGACCCAAGTTACATTCGAATTTTATAGAGCGAGAGATTGCGTATCTTCATTTAATGTTTCCTTTTGCTGCCGAACCGAAAAATATGACAGCTGTATGAAATATTATCGCGGTATTTTAGATAAATATAACATACCATCACGCAGTTTGAACGACGTGTTTTAATATTGATTAAAACTCGCTACGAGAACTATATTTAGATTTTATGAGTTATCGTCGAATTATGACGGTTTTATATTTTAAACCGATTTCTGCATTAATCTTTGCATGAACCAGTTCAACGTTCAGCTTTGTGTCTTGGCAATGCATACCGTCTTAATTGTTCGTCGTAAAATTTTTGTTTGTGTCCACAATCATTCAACTTCCGTCAGGCAAACGAGGCCTGCACTCATGAACTCCACAAAGAGTCTTTCATCTCCAGAATACTTAAAATTCCTATTATATTACCTCTTAAATAACTTTGAAAGCTATAATGAGAAGGGGCGACCTCAGAATTTAAATGTGTGTTCCAATATTTTTACATCAACCGTAAAAAGCAAGTAAAATGTTATTACCCGCTCTACTTCAAATAGCAATGTTTTAATCACACTTACTTTAAGCTTTACGATTTCAGTTAGTAGAGATTTTAAACTGATTTTATATTGAGGTTTACAGTTGCAATTGTTTTTTACGATGTCCATATATATAAAAGTGTCAAGGGCAAACTTAGCAGATTATATTTTAAAAATGAGTCTGTTATTTATATTCATTTACGTATGTAGTCATAATGTTAATTGAAAAATGTGTAACTTAAGTAAGATCATATATAATGAGCTATTTCATAATGATAAGTAGCTATCGTACTCCAAAATGATCTAAATAGGTTAGGACAGTACTGCAAATCTAATGGTTTACAACTAAATTTGGCTAAATGTTGTATTATAACATATTCAAGAAAAAAATGCAACTTTCTTTCAGATATTCAATGTTTGGTGTTAAATTGCGAAGGGTAACTGAGGTACGGGATCTTGCTGTACACCTTGATAGCCAACTCGTGTTCGATAAGCATATTGAAAAAATTACTTTAAAATCTTACCCCAAATGTTGGACTTCATCTCAAGGCAAGGTACACACTTTAGGAACTCTAATACACACATTATACTTTATAATGCTTACGTTCGGTCACACTTGGAATATGCATCGACTGTATGGAATCCATGTTATGCTAAGTATATTCAAGCAATTGAAACAATTCAAAATAAATTTCTTATAAAATTAAAATATAAGTTTGGTTACGATTTGCCTACTCTACTGTCCTTGAAAACTAGACGAGAATATAGAGACTAATTGTTTCTATTTAAAATGATTAACAGCCTTATACATTCGCCTTATCTCCTAAATAAAATATTATTTAACTGCCCTCGCTTAAGTGCTCAGTACAAAGACACTTTCGCAACTCAAAATCATAAAACAAATTATTACAAAAACAGTTTTATAGTAAGATCGTGTAGTAACTATAACGATAAATACAACATAGACTTGTTCAGGGGCTGTCTCAGTAAGTTTAACTCAATACTTAAAAATAATTAGATTAAGATTTGTTATCAACTTTTTTTTTCTTTTTCATATTTCACATTATATAAGTTTGGTTTATATACATTTTTACACTTGTTAGTTTTGTTTTTTTTTTTAATTACCATACATTTAATTTTACTGTTTTATCTCTTTTATATATATGTTCACTTCCAGATTAATTATTTGTGGAAACTGTATTGGCATGTGGGTTATTTAAGGTTTATAAGTTTTATGTAATATAAAATACGCTGTTTGTTTCACTTACAAATAAATAACTAAATAAATCGCTATTACAAAATAAGTGAATTAATCAAGTGCGATTATAGTTTTAAGGACCTATAATATGACAGTCTGATTTTAATACAGTCGTAAAACTGAATAATATTATAGAGAAAATTGGCAAATATTTAAAGTAGTTATCACCACGTTTTGTAATTAACGTATTGTTGTTTGTGTTAGTTAATAAAATTTTAGACATTTAAATGCTTAATTGATAAAAAAATTATTTAACAAATATTTCTATTTAATTCTTGATACAACAGTGTTTGTAATTGAATAAATAGTGTTAATAATAATTATTTGCAATGTGGAAGTGCTGCCCAAATTATTTCTAACAATAGTTTCTCCGATGTTTTGGTTATTTAGATGGGACACAATTTACAATTTCTCGTGTCTTCGTCTGTCTAAGTTTATTAGACTGAAACACCGTTTTTCAAAAGACTTTTACAGGTATAAAGACAATTTTGTGTTGTAAGATATAAGTGATATTTTAAATTTTTTCGTTTATAATTTTTAACATTTCATTTTATTAATTTAATTAAAATCTTAATAAAGTTATCAATTTTTAGCGTAACAATTATTTTGTTGTTTCAGATTGTTCGTTTTATCGAGGGTACAGCAGTATGGAGCATTTTTCTCATCCAATCACAGAATCTACGCACCACTTACCAATCCAGACTGATACTTATCTGTATAGTTGAAAAGTTCCGAAGATGGTGAAATAATAGTGTAGTGTAGAATAAGTGATAATGAGCTTATAAGTTAAGTGAATGTTGAATGACAGGGAGATGCCTTACTACGGTTATCGTGAAGGTTCGGACTCCAGTGGGGGTTGTTCGGAATCTGAGGGGGACTCGGATTCCGATGGGGGTTTGAGCACGGAGAGTACTGTAGGCCAAGGCCTACCATTCCCCGGCTTCACTCCTGTGGCCCTCAGGTATTTAACACAGGACACGAGGCCCAGAAGTTGGTGTTTGAAGCTCATCACCAATCCATATCCTTTTTAATATTTAATACAAGTTTAATATAAAATAACTTCAGATTTAGGTCACAATTAATATCATTTCTTATAATTAAGAAGATGTCTATACCAAAATGATTTAGAGACTAAAATAACTGACTAGGCACTCTTCAAGATTATACCGAACATACAATAATTTTGTATATAACTATTTTATTATTTTCTCTTATTAGTTTTGAAAGAATAAAAAAGCATTGGATCAGTGGTATAATATATATAGTTATGTTAACAGTCAAGTGAATATATAAACATTTTTTATAATTACTGTCACTCGATACATTGTTATAATGGTGGTTGATTATAAAATAAATATATATATTTAAGACATGCTCGCTTAAAGATGCTTAATTTTCCTAAAAACTATTGAGTACTACATATTAGCTAACAACGTTGAAAAACGATTTTTCTTTTAACGTAGCATTCCTATGAACGTCAGTGTGACTCACGTGATTTCAAGAATGATATAAATCTACCGAAAAGAGACGTGCATAAACTTTCTAGCGAATAAAAAATACTAAATACGAGTACATTGAGATTTTCCTTTCGCATTTTATACGAGGCTAGAAAAAACAGATCTGTTCGGATAAATACCAGCAAAATGTATCAAACACATGATATTAAAAACGAAGAAGAACATGGTATTAAAATCAAACACTTCAAGCTTACATTAGTCTTTACTCCTAACCACGTTATTAATTAATTAAGTACATATAAAGGACGTAAAGCAACCAAAGAGCAGATAATTTTATTGACTCTCTAAATACATATACGACCAAGGTCGCTAGGGATCTGCCGCTTTCATAACATATCTTGTTATCCCTAGTCGTGGACTTTTGTTAAAAAGGCTTTAAGCATATCCCGGGCGAGGATTTCACGTTACATTTTCAGTTTTGTATGTAAAAGATATTGTTGCCGTTGATATGACTTTGATATAGGTCGAATACAATTATTGTATTATTGGTGTGACATTTCGAAGCTTAGAGCGTTGGATCAAGTGGTTAGTTTTACATATAGCTTATATTCAAATGTATTCCTCCCTATCATTGAACTAAAACATAAATTTAGCAAATATTGTATGAATAAAAAATGATACAAGAGTTTTTAACTCATTTAATTTATCTATGAATTTCGTAATATTATTTCAGGCAGGAATTTGAGAATTTATTAGGCTATAAGGCGACTTTTAATGCGTTATTTACAGAATATGTATCCTTCCTTTCCAGTTTTTATAAATACTGAGAGTTATTACGCTAAGACAAACTTAATCACATACAAAGAATAATATAAAGACAACCACGTTTAAAAGTACATTTCATATATAACAGAAGTTCTTAAAACAATAGTTGTACGATTTATATTTGCGAGCCATATGTAAGAGTTCAAACAAAAATGTAACAGGAATACCTAACGAAATTACAAACCGTATATAAAGTAGCGTCTACTTATCGTATAAATTATGAAAAACGAATCTGGTTTATTTCAGTTTAACAACGTGTGTACAATGAAGATATATTTTGTTCGGCCCAAGAAGTAAGACAGGGCGTAAATAATTAACACACGACTCATATTCCATATATAATTTTTATAATTCCTTTCACATAAATATATTTCCTTCTATTATAAAACTATGTTATCGTAACAATTTTTTACATTTGCTTTTAAATAAACTGCAGCTAAAGCTTACAGAAATAATGGAAATGTTTCCACAGTGTATACCATTCAAATATCGGTTATTGAAAGCAGTCGGGAAACATTCATCACTCTCTGGATATAGCTATGAACATATTTTATGCTAAAACAGATGTCCGTCCGTGTGGACTCGAATATGTTAACTATGAAAATTAAATGAAAGTCCAAATGTAAATTCTGTGGATAATTTCGATAATCACTTCATAAGATCCTACAATAAAAAAGTATATGATAGGTTACATTTATGATTTTAATTTTTCGTTTTAAGGAGATATTTCCTGAAAGTTTATATTACCTAACCGACGGAATAGTATAATTTAAATTGAAAAGCCTTTTAATTTCCTATTTCTTTCTATAATTTCATATACTTTAAAATATAACGTGAAATAAAATAACTTAATATAGAAATTCATTACGGCAAACATTCAAGTAGGTACAAATATAATGTGATGCCAGATACATGCAATTTGCTCATAAAGCAAACTATAAACTATGAATTAATTAGCCTGACTAAACATTAATTAAACAGTACATCCTCTGCGTTCAGTGAACAAATTGGGAAATATATTTCATATGAATATCATATCTATCTACTCGTTGTTCTTGAAATTATCTAAATATTGTATTAATAAATAAATATCCATACGTCCTGTTATTCTTTTTTATGACCTAACACATAGGTATGCTAAAGACTGAGCTCGTAAAACTTGATGAGCTGTCAAACCAAAAACATAAATGACATAAAGACTAATTGAATATTTTATGTATGTATAAGATATTGATTTAGGTCTTTGGATGAATTTTTTAATAATAAATTATTTATTTAATCTAAATTGTCCGCTGTAACTAAAATTAAAATATTAATAACACCATCTGTATCAAGAAAATGCTAGTACAATAAAAAATATATCTTAGATGCTATGAAAGTTTGAGATATAGAAAGTTTCAGATTAAAATCCAGAAAATATTTATTATTTACTTTTTAAATCATGAATTTTACACTGCAGTTCTTTAAATGTGGAAAAATACATACATACATAGAGCAATTTAAAAAAGTTCATATATTTTTCCCATGATTGGACTAGACATTTGTTTTTTCGGAGACACACATCCTCTCTGCAGAGGAAATTATAATAAAACTTTTAAAAATAATCATAAAAGTACAACATTACTAAAAAAACATTAAACAGCACAAAAAATAACATGACAATTCATTAACTATATATTCGACAATTAATATTCGTCCTACCAATTTCAATATTTAAAACATTTTGCCTTAAAATTCTTGGTGGCATATATTTAACGAAGATGGTAAAATGTCACAGTTTTTTATTTAATAACCGTAAATATAAATCTTGCCTATCTATTAAAAATAAACGTCCCACAAGGCTTATTTCCCGCGTTCGATATTGCTTAGTCAACATGACATTAATAGTTTCTGGGTTTTTCATTAATGTATGTATGTCTATGTATATATGTTTAGGAAAAGATTTATGAATGAGAAACTGGACTGTTGATGTTTAGTTTAAACAAAAATGTTTTAGTCTCTGTTAAAATTGTAAACAATTCATTACTTTTTCTTTTGTAAATCTGTTTTAAAAATTGAATCTTGTTGAATCCTCTAATGAAATCCAACAAAATGTTAATGTTCATCAGCTATTTCTGCGACAATTTTTGTGGTAATGTCTTATCTTTTTTTCACTTTGATGTAGGTATTTTATAGTAAAACTTATTCGCTAATATATTGTTTCTTTTAATTGAAACGTATTGCTTTAAAGTAAAGCCTTATATAACTTTTTACTTACTTTTAATTGAATCTCTTTATTTCAATCGTTTTAAGTTTCTATTTCATTTGAACGAATTGTACTATGTATATATATACAGGGTGACTGGTGAATTACTATCGATATTTGAGGACGTGATATTTGACGATCATATATGACAAAATAAAAATTAATATAACATAAATATTAATAAACTTCTAAGTAAAGTTAACCAAAAGTTATGTAATTAATTACGCATCGTATGAACACCCTACAGATTAGGTATACACTCACACTCACACATACGCGCGCGGCGGCGTGTTGTTGTATCAGCACGCCGCCGCACGCGTCCACACTTGGAACACTTGGAACGTGTACACACTTTATTTATTTATACGGAAATTTGGTCAAAAATTAAGTACCTATTTTTTTACATAATTCAAATGAGAATCATGTACCGAGTATTCTCCTTAAATATTGATAGTAATTCACCAGTCACCCTGTATATATATACATAGTACAATTCGTTCAAATGAAATAGAAACTTAAAACGATTGAAATAAAGAGATTCAATTAAAAGTAAGTAAAAAGTTATATAAGGCTTTACTTTAAAGCAATACGTTTCAATTAAAAGAAACAATATATATATATATATATATATATATATATATATATTCAAACTGCAACTCAAAGTACTTTAATCATTAACCATCACTTATGTGATATCATTAATTATTTCGTAACTAGTCTCATCTTGATTCTCTGTAACAATAGTTTTTTGAACATGCTACATAATTTATAACGTATTTTATTTTTACATCGCCTGCTAGGTCTATAAAATAGTATTGTAATAATAAATAAACAGCCACGCCATTGGCTTATATCCAAGATAAAAGTTTGTACGGAACATTAAACCATATTCCGGATTTTTTTCTGCTAATACGCCAATTTGTTATAATTTTCATAAAGTAGCGTAAAAATGCACCATTTGTAGTCTTAATATTTCGAAGTTACGTCTGAATTTCATTTCAGATATGTTTATTTGAACAATATTATGATTTAAATTCTTCATTATACATTCAAAATATACCGATTTATATGGATAAGGATCAACTCAATTGTCAATGTTATCGGAAAAATTATTTTATATTTTAACAATAACTTATTATTCATGAAACAATACCTTTTTGTTGTTTTGAGTGACGTATACGCTGAATATTAGATATATGTATGTATATATAAGTATATGTGCTTATTTCAGATTGATATAAAATAAAATTATTAAAATATTTCAATAATAAATTGAAATTTATTCACATACAAAACAATATTTGCTAAACAACTGTTATGCGATTCAAATTCTTTTTACTTCTTCATTCTATTTAAAACCTTTTGGTTGGATTAAATTGTATTGAGCACATTAAAGTAAATACAAATAAATTAAAAATCAATGTTTCCTTTTACTTATAATGTTAGCAGCTATTTAAATCATAATACAAATGAATGCTTACAACTATAATT